ATTGTTGGGTATTTAGCAGCATTCCTGGCTTCTACCTACTATAAACCAGTAGCAACTCCTCACTTAGAAGTTGAGACAACCAAAAACAGCTTCAGACGTTGTTGAATGACCTTGGGAGCACCATTATCCCTGGTTAAGAATCACTGGACTAAGCATAGATACCTAGGTTTGGGTTTTCTTTTTCTTTTTTTCCTTTCTCTATCTCAGTGTTTATCAACCTCAGAATTATTGGCATTTGGGCTGAATAACTCTTTGTTGTGGGGGCTGTCCTATGCATTATAGAATGTTTAGCAGCATCCCTGATCTCAACCTACTAGATGCCAGTAGCACCTCCCCTTGTTCGTGACAACAAAAATGCCTCCAGACATTGTCAAATGTCCCCTGGGGTGCAAAAATCACCCCCCCCCCTCATTTTGGAACCACTGGTGTAGACAGAGTCATCAGTGAGAATGGACTCGGCTTCCTCAGAGTTAAGCAGAATTGCTTAAACAAAGTATGTTAGGAAAGAGTGGAATAAGATTGAATAACTAAGGTGGACACATGCTGTGTAGGATCTTGAGTACCAGAGCCTATAATAGGCAGCCACAATAGATCTTAAGCAGATTTGTTTCAAAATGAAATCGGTATTTTAAACTCAATCTCGCAGAAACAAAAGGACTAAGTATCATGGGGAGGAAGTGAATGCAGGGGGACAAGTTAGGCAACAGTTATAATAACGAGGCTGAGATTGTAGTGACATCTTTGGAATGGAGAGAAAATAGTAAACCCAAGGGTACTTTGCAGAAAGAAATGTTAAGTCTTTGCAACACATTGAGTATTAGAGATGAAGGCAAAGAAAGAACCAGTGGTGAAACCAGGGTTGCTAGTGAGAAGAAAGATTTGAATGAGGTGAATGGGAAAGAGGGGCCCTTTAATGAGTTTAGTTTTGCAAATATTACCTGTAGGCATTTTACAATTAGCACAGGAACGCTGGTAAGAAGTCAGGGCTGAGGGACAGCTTTGGGAGCCTTGGAAACACAAAACCCTGAAATATGGCTAAATAAAAGTTTCTTTCTCATTTGTGTTACACTCCACTGGGGGGTAGGTAGCCCTAGGTCATTTATGAATCCAAGCTTCTTCCCTCATATGGCACTGCCATCTTTAACAGGTGACATCCAAGGTGGCTGCAGAAGGGTTAAATATTAAAGACCTCATGGGAAATTTTAGAGGCCCTGAAGAGGCATGTATAACTTCTGCCCACATTTTACTGGGGATGCAACTTAACTGCAAAATTTAATCTATTGGTAGAGGAAAAGAAACTCAGGATTCGTAAGAACTTGGTCAATCCTTCCTCCTCCACACACATGGTAATAAGAAGAAAGAGCTATAAGAGTGCATGAATTCATTGAGGATAGGATAGAGTAAACAATTTTAGAGGAAAGAGGTCAAGGAACACAGATAATAAATGGAAGAAGAGGTCCCGCAAAGGATTCAGAAATGTTAGAGAGCCTGGAAGAGACCAGCCCTGCATAGAGTTGAGAGTGCCAAGATGAGGGAGGCACACTTCCAACAGGAGGGAAAATGCCTGCTTTTTCTATGACTCTTACTTTTGGAGACAAATAACATCACAATAATTAGAAAAGGACTTATACATTCATATCCCACTTTAAAACCATCATTAGCTTGTCTTCATGAGCAGTTTGAAACCCCAAACCTATCTGCCTGGCTTTCAATGCCTTCTTTGCTGGCCCCGTCTACCTATCCACCCTTCACCCAGGAGATCCCAGGCCCAGGGCTGCTCACCATCCCCAAGCACGCCATACTCTCTCCTATCTTCATGGCTTTAATTTCATAGCTTCTTCCACCCATCAAAGTGCAGGCTTTCCTCAAGCCCTACACCATCCAGGAACAAGGCCTTTTCTGATATTCCCTGTCATCATCAACCTCCCCATATTCCATCAGCCTTTTGATCCTTCCTCTACTTTGGCGTGTGGACATCCACTTTGTATCTGTTACATGTTCACGTGACTGGCTCCCTCAATACCCCATGGGTTTCTAAGCATTGAAGCAGGGCCACTGGGATGTACAACTCCAGGACAAACCAGACAACATTAGAATCTAGGTCAGGGGCTGGCAAACATTTTCTATAAAGGGCCATATAGTATTTTAGGCTTGGTGGGCCATTTCGTTTCTGTTACAGCTACTCAACTGTGCCACATAAGCGCAAAAAATAGCCAGAGACAATATGAAAATATGCAAGAGTAGCTGTGTTCCCGTAAAACTTTATTTATGAGATATGTGGTAGGCTGGATTTAATCCATGGTCCATAATTTGCTGCTTCCTGATCCACATAAATTATACTTTCTGCAGCAAAGTGTGAACAGGTTCCTTTGAAATGTAATCAGGAAAGCCCTGGAAAGAATTGATATGCACCTTAGTCATCTTTGTATCTTTCGCCCTACCTCTCACCATCGCCTAGTACAGTGCCTTCCACGTAGTATACCATCAATGTTTATTTTTGTTTTTCTCAATTAAATATGCCTGAAACGCTACCAATTCAGTAAATCATAACAACATTTTGAGGACTTAATTACCTTTGAAAACTATCCTGCAAGTTTGTAGTAAGGTAGTTCAGGAAGGGATCATGTAATCCCAAGAATCATAAAAAGAATGTGACAGGGGAAGATGTGAGCTAAGAACATCTAAGGATTAGCAGCCAAAGGATGAGAATCTGACATCAGAGCTGGGTAAAAGCAACGAAAAGCATTTCAATCCGGAGAGACCAGCACCAAGGAACATCACATCATATGTAATAGATGTCTCACAACACCCTCTAAATCCGTGTGAATAATGCATTTAATGCCAGCACTTCAGTGCTGGAAAGATGTTCGTGATTTGGAGGAAACTCAGAGACCAACTAAAATGATTAAGAGACTGAAAGGATTCATTTATGAGCAGCTATAAAAGAAGCCAAGTACGTGCTTGGCCTGCTGATGGTCAGAAGGAGATGGGGAAAAGGTTTACAAATTACTGAATACTGAAAACACCAGGAAGGGAAGGAATGGCGGTCAGCTCTATTGGACTTAGCTCTTTGTATGGAAACATCTCAGGCACTGACAAATTCCTCTCATTATTGGGTCTTAAAACATTTACGGGCTCTCTGAATAATATATGACCCGGAATGCTGTGATTGATAATGCTCTATTATTACAGAAGAACAGGATTGCTTCATAAGAGCAAACGCAGAACAAATTATTGTTTATTAATGAAGGAAACATTCCAGGAATGCTAGGTATGCTGAGAAAATAAAAACTCACTCACAGTCCACTCTTAGAAGTACCAAATATATGCAATTGTGGGTAAGAGCATATAGCTTAGGGTTGTTGAAATTAAAGCACAAAGATGCAAAGATAGCTAGATATTTTCTTCCTTCTTTCCTTTCTTCCTTCCTTTTTTTCTTTCATTCAATTATTCACCCATCCATCTATTCATCCATCCCACATAACTAACACCTACCCACTATTTGCCAGGTCCCGTGCTGGTGATATAAAGAGTCAAACTGCACAGGGGCCTATTCTCAAAAAGAACGTTTGGGGGAAGAACGTTTATAGCAGCAAAATTTATAGTCGTAGAAAATAAAATAGAAGATAACTTAAATGTCCTGTAATGCGGAATGATTAATCATGGTACGGATCATTATGCAAGCATCAGATTATGATTTAGAAGAAAGTTAAACGACATGGGAAATGCTTATTTTAAAGGTCAAAGGGAAAATGCAAGATACAAACTTTGCAATCCTAGTAGTGTTTGTGTGTGTTTGGAAAGGAAATCCACTAGTCAGACTGAGTTCCAGTTCCAATCTTAGTTCTGTCACTTATTAGTTTTGTGAACTTGGGTGATAATTTAACTCCTCTGTACCCCAGTTTTCTCATTAGAAAACGGGGATAATACAGCTGTTGTAAGGGTTAAAAAATTAATACATGTAAAATGCTTAAAATACTGGCTTGCAAGCACTAGTGATAGCCACCAAAAAAATAGGAAACCCTATTTAAAAATTAGTACTGGAGAGTACACATTCAGTTGGCAGTTTGGTAAATGTCCTTTTTAGTCTGGCATACAATATGTTACAACTTTGTCCAATTATTTCCCCTCTTATACTTTAAAAAATAGTTGTAAATTGAGTGAAATGAGGAAACATCCATTGCAAGTAAAAAGTATTTGCTTTCAGAATCTGCTTTGTCAAATTATAACACTTAATAAACACACAACCAAACACTCTGCAGGGTTATAAAAGTTTCCTTTTTAACCAGATACTTTCTCAAGGCTAGAGCCCTGATGTTTTACTTTGGTTGAATATTCTCGAACTGTGAGAGTTTAAAACTATTTACAACTGTGTTTTCATGTCAGGATCAGTAAATTAACAGAAATTAACAATTGGTTTCTGAAGGGCCTAAGGCCATACACAGTTTATTTCTCATCCAAGTTTTTGGATTATCTTAATTATATTTGTTTTTAAATGTTAGGAAAAATAGAAGTGAGCAGTTTTAATAACAGTGTCCATTCTATTTTACCTTGAAGTTTTGTTTTTATTTCTCTTCATTAAGGGAATTTTTTTATTATTATTATTTTAATTGATAGGTAAAAATTGTATATATTTTTGGTGTACAACATATTCTGATAGAAGTATACATCATGAAATGGTGAAAACAAGCTATTTAATATATGCATTACCTCACATACTTATCTTTTTGTGCTGAGAACACTTAGAATCTACTCTCATTAGGAGAATTCTCATACTCATGTTTGGAGCTAGTCTCAGGGGTGAAGCTACTTCAGCAGGTGTTCTGCCCAAAACCTACAAAGTGGAATTGATGCATTGCTTAAGCACTTTCTTAAGGAAAGGCTAGAAAATACTTGACCAAGGAAATGAGGTTATTCTACTGCTTACACCACTAAGAATCTGATTTCTCTGAAAGCTTTCATAGCATCTCTCTCTCTCTCTCTCTCTCTCTCTCTCTCTGGTCTCCTATGTAAAAGCGATTGACATCTGGATGGCGGTGTGCCTTCTGTTCGTGTTTGCCGCCTTACTGGAATACGCAGCGGTGAATTTTGTCTCCCGGCAACACAAGGAGTTCCTGCGCCTCCGAAGAAGACAGAAGAGGCAGAATAAGGTACAGTTGGCCCTCAGTGCAGACAAAGTCAAGTAGAGCTTGAGGTGGTTAACCAGGCAATGTAATTGAGAAAACAGAACATGCAATGAACAAGAAGCTAAGGTTAATTTTTTTCCTGATTTGTCCTAGTACACTGAATTACTGCACAGGTTAATCCTTTTAAAATTGGGGCAAGGTTTTTAGATTTAGCAAATAAAAATACAGGATGTGTGGTTAAATTTGAATTTCAGATAAACAACAAAATTTAGTATAAGTATGTCCCAAGTATTGCATGGGACATACTTATACTAAAAAATTATTTGTTTATCTGAAATTCAAATTTAGATGGGCTCCCTGAATTTTATGTTTATCCTCATTGGGATATAAACTGAATTTGACATAGTTACTTTAAAATCCTGATTGTTTTCAATATTGACAATTTGTTTGTGTATGTGCGTGTGTGTGACTTTGTGCACATAACTGATTTGATTGCCTTTTTTCATCAATGCTCTGGCTTTATGTAAATAATGCCCTGCTCATGTAGACTGCAACCTGATAAATCCAATTAGACTGATCTCATTGTCTTGCCTTAAACTTTAATGCAGAAAACTAAGTTTCATGCTATCCAGAGGTTTGAGGTTTGAAATACATAGCTCAAGACCTCCAGTTCAATGGTTCCCAAACTTGCTGGGACATTAGAATCACCTGGGGATTTTTCAAAAATACCAAGCCTTGGCCACAACCCACAACAATTAAATCCCAATCTGAGGATGGGGCACAGGCATCAGTATTTCTGCAGCTCCCCAGGCAATTTCAATGTGCAGACATGTTTGGAAAGTATTCACTGCTCAGGGTTTTACAACCCATTCTCATATAGGATACTAGAAGGCTTGCACCTATTTTCCATTTCAGACTCCGGGAGATAAAAATGTCCTTTGATATGGAGAATGTTATCACCTGTAATAACTAGAGAATTGAAGTTAAAATTTTACATACAGTAGATGAGAAATATTTCTCAAAATCCATTCCAAAAAATATTTGATAAATTTAGCCCATTAGTGAAGCCATAAGTTATATGCCACTCTGTTGGTGAAAAAACTAAAATGTTTCACTGTCAGCCATAATGCTTCCAAATATCTAGATGTAAAGTTGAATGTTTGCTGTGAGTTAGACGTTGCTTAAATTGAGGAGTTGAATGTTTTTCATAGGAATTTTTGTAATGTTGTATGGAAGATTCTTGGGTTGTATCTGGGCTCTGTAGAAATGAGTTTTGTGATCGATTAGCAATATCTGACATAACAGAATAACAGCTATTAAAGAATATTTTTAGAAGTATAACTAATAAATGAACAGGGGTGGGGTAGGGAATGTGAAATAATAAAAAGACAAAATCAATCTAAAAGAAAGAGGAAAGGCAGAACAAGAAAGATAAAGAGAAAACAAGTAGAAAAGTGGTAGATTAAACCCAAATATATCAGTAAAATTGACCTGAAACACTTCAGTAGCTAGGTCTGGGCACAGACTTTATGAACATGAGCCTGAAAGCATAAGCAGTAAAAGAAAAAATAAACAAATGGGACTATATCAAACTAATTGTTTCCTTCTGCACAGCAAAGGAAACAATCAGCAGAGTGAAATGACAACCTACAGAGTGGGAGAAAATTTTTGCTAACTATGCATCTGACATTGTATATCTAGAATATACAAGGAACTCAAACAATTGCACAGTAAAAAAACAAATAACCCAATTAAAAAATGGGCAAAGGAACTGAACAGACATTTTTCAAAGGAAGACATACAAATGGCCAACAGGTACATGAAAAAATGCTCAACATCACTAGTCATCAGGGAATGCAAATTAAAACTATATTGAGATACAACCTTTCCCCAGTTAGACGAGCTATAATCAAAAAGACAGTCAATAACAAATGCTGGCGAGGGTGTAGAAAGAAGGGAACACTCCTGCACTGTTGGTGGGACTGTAAATTGGTACAACCACTTTGGAAAACAGTTTGGAGTTTTCTCAAACAGCTACAGACAGATCTTCCATACGATCCAGCAATCCCACTTCTGGGTATATACCCAGAGGAATGGAAATCATCATGTCCAAGGGATACCTGCACTCCAATGTTCATCGCAGCTCTGTTTACAATAGCCAAGACATGGAACCAACCTAAATGTCCATCGATGGATGATTAGATAAGGAAACTGTGGTATATATACACTATGGAATACTACTCTGCCATAAAAAAGAATGAAATTCTCCCATTTGCAACAACATGAATGAGCTTGGAGAAACTTAGGTTGAGTGAAATAAGCAAAGCACAGAGGGACAAATACCATATGTGCTCCATCATATGTGGGAGCTAAGAGAGAAAGAAGGAAGAAAAGAAAGACCATAGCAGTGTGTTGGACTTGCAGAGG